CAGAGCGGGAGGGAGGAGGGGGAATGTGGGGTGCTCAGAGGAGGGGGCAGAGTTGGGGCAGGGACTTTGGGGAAGGGGTTGGAATGGGGGCGGAGAAGGGGTGGGGTTGGGGCGGGGCCAGGGGGTGGGGAAGGGGCGGAGTTGGGGCGGGACCGGGGCCCCGTGGAGTGTCCTCTTTTTTAAATGTTTGAATATGGTAACCCTAACAAACATCGTGAGAGGGACCAAATAAATAAATCATGACATTGGCATAAATATCATAAGATGTTTTTTAATTTATATTTCTGTTCTGATGTTTGAAATGTTAGGCTGTTTTATGCCTGCACTTTAGGAAACTCAGCCTGAAATGTACACACACACACTGGGGGAACTCGGCTATTTCACATATCCTTTAAAACAGATTTTATATTTTAAAAAATTAACGTCGGTCACTGTGCAATACACAACAAATCAAAACACGTCTGAACTTTCTGCTGTTGGGGCCCAGGTGACAGAGCTTGTGGCTCCCTTCCCAGGCTGATGGTGTTGGGGGGGGGGGGAAGATTTCAAGTAGTGATCACTGCCAGACTTGGGGACAATGGGGTTAGGTATTGTAATTATACATTGTCACATCATTGTCCAGATGTTTCTTACATGCCACACATATTTCTCCTGCCCTCCCTAATATTTTTTCATAAGAAATATTTATTTTGGAATAAAGGAATAGATTCTGATCCTGTACTCCTGACTCAAGGAAAAGTCTCATTGCATTCAGTGGGAAGTTTGCCTGAGTAAAGAGTATAGGACCAGGACCAAAGTTTGTGTGACTATTTAACTTTTAAGCATAGACTATAAGATTTGTTCTCTTGCACATTTTATGTTGTGACAAAGTATTTGTGGGAAAAGGTATTAGCCAAGAGTTGTAACAAGATTTCTTTTTAAAATTTTCAGAAGAAGTTTTGGGCTGGCTATTTCAGTAAGTTGACTGTTCAATCTCTTTTCTAGAATGATTTTATGAAGGGATCATTACAGTTAGGATTATGGAATTTAAAAGACTCTCGAGTAGTTTATTCAACTTGCACAGTATTTTATGTATCCTACTACTGTTTAGCAAGCATCTGGTGAAGTGGGAGGAGAAGATGTACACAAAAAAAGAGTAGGAGTGGAGTCATTAAAAGCAAACCATCTGAGAAATAATTAACAGTCAAGACTGTAAATCAAAAAAATAGTGTTAGACTACTTGGCTAGATGCAATGACATTAAATAGGCTATTTCTTTTATTGTTTTCCCTATGCAAGGCTGGGCTAAGTTAATCTGGGACTCTGGGCACTCCACAACATGGAGCCTTATGTGGCTCCACTCACCTAGCACCATCCTATACCATTGCCTTGTTCCCTACCTTGGAATGGCAGTGGTAAGGGGCCTCTTCTTTCCCCCAGGAGCAACAGCAAGAGCCCTTATTCTGTCAAGAGGAGCCAGAGTTGTAATAGAGGTCCACCTTCCCCCCTTCCCCCCCCCCACTACAGAGATGTAGGGATGGCAGCAAGGGGATGCAGGCAGTACTCGGCACAGCACCCAGGATGTATCTACATGGGTGGGTAGTTGGGCCAGCCCTGCATGCACCCTCCCCGCCTGCTTCACACACACACAATCCTATGTCAGGGTGGTGTTGGCAGGGCATTCCCAGAGCATGGGTCTTAAACCAGATCTACACTACAAACTTTTGTGAGCATACCTGGGTCAGTCAGAGGTGTGAGGAAGTGTGATTTGTGACCAACACAGCTGTGCTGGTAAAAGATTCCATGCTGGGAAGAAAGCTCTGTCATGAATAGGAATTTGTCCCTGTTGACTCCTATTTCTCTTACTGATGCAACATTCATTCAGGTGGCAGACAGTGCTCCTCAAACCCATGCCAGCATGATGGCGTGTGTCAGGACAGCATTCGCAGCTACACCTGCACCTGCATGGATGCTTATGAAGGACCGAACTGTAATTTCGGTAAGGCAACATTTCCTCTAGAGGCTACCGTGGAAACTATATGGACCTCATGCAGACAGTCTATATTGTTTGTTTTATGTTAAAACATGTGATTTCTAGTGGAGGATGCATGACAGTGACGCATGGGAAGAGGGGATATGAATTGTTCATCTCAACAACCTGAGGTAAATCCTCTAAAATGTTAATGCAGCGTGTGGCTGCATTAACTTTGCTGTGCCCTGTCACCTTCCTTCTATCCTGGAGAGACTGAGGAGGGAGCAAAGGGCAGAAGAAACCCTGGCACGATGGCACCAGTGAAGCTGCAACGGAGGCAGGATTGAGAGCCTGGAGCCAGGGCAGAGGGCCTCTGTATGGATGACCCTCTGCTCATCATCCAAAGGTTCTCAAAGCGTGGTCTGCAGATCACTTGTTAGCTGGTCACATGGTGCTCTCTCTACTCCAGACGCTATTGCCTTAAATATGTTCCTAATATTACTTCTCCAGGTAAGCAATTGCTGTAGTTGCCAGAAGGAAACTGTATGATTGCAAATAGCAGGGAAGATTGCCCCCACCATCATGAATGAGAGGTCAGCAGGTGCCCACACAGGACAATCCATTAAGATATGGTCCAACTCCTGAAAATGTTTGGCAACCCTGCTGTAGTGGATCCCTCTCAAGGTTCCCATGGAGTGAGTATGGGAGCTAAACTACTGCCCATCTGATCAAATGATCTGGGGGAAACTCAATGGGGGAACTTTGTGGAGATTTCCTCCATGGGTCCCAGGATTCTTTTTCTTTGGTTTTTTTTGTTAGAGGGGGCAATCCAGCTCAGTTTTACTCCGTCCTGACTCAGGCAAACATCCACTGACTTCAGTGGGAGTTTGCCACAGTAAGAACTGAGTAAGGACCTCAGGTACTAGTCCCTAGGACAAAGGAAGTCTATCCTAAAAAGTGAATTTCTCCCATGTTGATGTTATCCTTAAGAAAAAACTGAAAGATTCAAAGTTGAAATTTTCGGGGTGCCAAGGCCTCTTCCAGTGTGAACAGGCTAATTAGTTACAAAGATCTGACTCTTTAGAAAGTATTTTGTTGGGATTCAGACTCACAGACCCCCCATTTTCTACATCAGATATGTAGCTTTTTGATGCATAAAGATAACGTAAATAATACTTGTGCTCTTCTTAGGTCTATTCTGCATTTTACAAGCACTTTTGAGCAAATTGCTCAGAACTTGAGCACATACTTCATAATTAGTCAATTGTTACTATTTACTGTTTTATTTACATAATAAACTGGAGGACACAGGCAGTCTCATTCACATGGAGCTGACTACATTTTTTTAGAATTCCCTATTCTAGAAAGTCCTTTACACTGACAAACTGATTGATAACAAAGCTTAAATGTTTTTCTGGTCTAGTTTAGAATGAATGGATATCAATTTAACTAGACAAGGATAGAAAAAGTAATAGTACTTAAAAACACATTGGGCCAGGTCCTTGAATCTGCTGCTTAGTGCTACTTCACCAACCTTAAAACCAGTGCATTTGGTTATTTGGAGATTTGCCCTGGTATGGAGGAATCCCTGGGTGCTGTGGGCCAATTTAGCCCCTCTGGCATAGGTGGTGTAGCTGGGAAAAGGGGCAATGGCAGGGTGATGGGTATCATAGGCTAGGGGAGGTTGTGCCTCCCCAAACAGCCTGGTCTGGCCCCGCTATGCTCCATCCCTAGGAGGCCCCCTCCTGCAGTGCCTGATGTTCTGCCTTGGCCCAGGCTGACTGGGGCTGGGCAGCCTATCGTGGGGACTCGGGGTGGCTGGCGCTGTGCTGCCTACCTGGTGCTTGGACTGTGCTGCCCAGCACTCTGGGGCTGAGGGTGCTGCTGCCACTCTGCGAGGTGCTCCAGGGTGGGGGGGCTCTGGGCTTCGTGGGGGAGGGGAGGGCACAAGGGGAGGGGAAGAAGCAGAGCCTCAGGTAGAAGGGGAGGGGCTGGGGGCTAGCCTCCCCCAATGGCTAGGTGACCAGCCACTAATGGGCAATGGCCACAGTCATCTTTAGCTCTGGCAGTCCCCAACCATGGAATGCCTCCTTGGGGACCATTGCCACTGGCACAACTTAGCTCATCCCTTGCCGCTGGACCTTCACAGCCCCAAGCCTCACAGAGCCACAAAAACGGCTTAAAGGCAGCTTTGATGCCTCCTCATCCCTGAGCTGTGTCAGGTACCAAATGTCCAGTCTTGGGGATCTGCCTATTATTTTTAATATTGTTTAGTGCCAAGCAAATCTCAAGTGTTTGCCCAGCTATGCGAACTGAAGAGACTGGCTCTGTTTCAGAGGCAAGAAATGCTTCTTTATTTTTCTGTTCTTTTACATTGGTTGCTGTTAAGTTTAAATTTTCTTGGCATGAGCATAAAAAGAGCCAAAAAAGAACAGCTTAAGTCCTTTATTTTTTAAGCAACTCCTGACTTCATAAAAAGTACAATCATTCTCTTCCTTCAAAGACACCTGGCACTCAGTGTAAATACATGTCATGGAATTTTCCATGCAGAGAAGAGCTAGTGTTACTTTAGCTAGTACGACCTACAAACACAATCCTGAAATACATCCTGCCTGATCCAGTGCGGTAGGGAGCAATTCACTTTACAATGACTTCATGGGAGTTGCTGCGGCTCAGTACCTCTCCAACAAGTTAAAAAGAGGGAGTAGCAAGAATTGCTTAAATGATGAGCTCAGAAGAGCATGAAAAGTGAGCAAATGTCATTGCTTAGCAAAACAGGGCCCATGGTGTGCAAGAAAATCCCAGTTTATTGCTCAATTGTTGTTTCTTAGCGCTTTGCTTTTGTTATTCTCTTTAGCTAAAAATGAGTGTCAACACAAAACTAGAGAGGGATGTCAACACTTCTGCTATCCAGGATCTGAGTCCTACCACTGCGCATGTGCAAAAGGCTATGAACTTGGGGAAGATAAAAAATCATGCATTCCAAGAGGTAAGTATAAAAAGAAGTCAGAAGAGAGCATGCTTAGACCCAGGATAGGCAGGCTGGGGGAACGGCATCAATAGGAGCTATTATGACTGCACTGAGACCATTAGAATGAACCAAAGGGAGGTGTCCTGAGGGCTCCAGTAATGATGAATTTCCAGAGAAAAAATAAATACAAGGTTGCGCAAACACAGCTTTAGAGCAAAGCAAATCCTAAAATTCATTCACTGGCCCAGATTTTCCAAACACTTCCAGTGTAAAAGAGTATCTCCTCTGAAATCAATTGAGTTACGTCTTTAAAACAGGTGTGAGAGGAGACTCGGGCCCATTGTTTTTATTTTACCTGTGTCTTTTTTTTGGTGGTTGCTGCCATGAGATCAACTCTCCCTGCTTCAGTCAGGGTAGCACTTGCCTATGCAGTGAATAGCTGTGAGAGCAGCCCTGATCAGGGGCGGCTCCAGGCACCAATGTGCCAAGCGCGTGCCTGGGGTGGCAAGCTGTGGGGGGGCGGCCTGCCAGTTGCCGTGAGGGCAGCAGTCAGGCTGCCTTTGGCGGCATGCCTGCGGGAGGTCCGCTGGGCCCGCGGACACTTCGAGCCCTCCCGGGGCCTGGGCCTCCCAAACCCCTGGGCACCGGGGG